TTTTTTTTTTGGGACATGCCCTGATGGGTCAGGGTCCCCTGAATCCTATCTGAGGCCCTGCTGTACATCCACTATGTGATAACAAAAACCAACACAGAATTATACACCCACTGTTACGAGGCAGTCCACGTGTGCCCAACAACTCCACAACCAGTCTGCATCATATCTGTCATTCAGTTAGCATTGACTTGACGACAGGAAAAAAACAAATATACATAAAATTGGTTGAGCAATAGCAGTGGAGAGGGAAGGTGTGGGAGAGGGAGGGGGAGGAGGAGGAAAGCGGGGGGAAAGGGGGGTGGGGGGGTCGCTATAATGCTGTGTACGGTCAGATGCTGTTTGGGTGAGGAATCGAGGTTGCCAGCAATGCATAGTTGAATGCTAGCACGGTCAAGGCTTCATTCTGGTGCACAAGTGGTCTATAGGGGTGAAATGTAAACCGATGCCTAACGTGGTTCGCCGTAGTGGACCACCCTAGCCTAGTGCACCCCATACTAAGAGATATGATCAGCTCTAAGAAGTTGACTCTTGGTTGTCTTTACAAGTTCACTTTGGAGTTTGAGCTCGCGTATTAAAGCGGGAAATCAGCTTGTAACGGAGAGGCAGCAGGAAAGTGTGTCATTCTGGCAGCGGGGGTGTGTGTGATATTCCAGGTCTGGTCCTACTGGCCTGAGCCAAGCAGGAGATCCAGAAACGCCGCACCAATAAGGAATTCGAATTTTGCTGCTATCGGGTCTCGCCCAATCCGGGCAAGGGTCTGGCCATGTGCTCATCCGGCGGGAGAAGGAGTGCCGCCTAGCAATTACGGGAACCTTCAAGTGGCACACTGTTTCGGAGGCCACATTTCACGGGTTTCATGTGATTGGCCGCAGCTACTGGACGCTGGACACTTTGATCCTGTCGTGTCGTTCTGCCAATAGTGTCGTCTGGCGTCTTTCACATTTTCTGCCCGAGCCGGAAGGCACACGTCCAGCGACGTCTGTGCGATGCTCGTTGGGTTGCAAAAACATTTGGTAAATACCGCCAGGCGCTGGTTCTCCGACTGACCTGTTTGGGGGGTGATGTGAATGTTTCAAATGTGCGACAATGGCTTCCCTCTCCGATCGTTGCGGAATAGTCATCGTCTGGCCTGGCACTGGCTTGGATTCTGGCCCTACCAACCGAGCCGCCATTTCATCCTTTGTGACTGTCGCTTGCCCGTGTACCCTGTTTCCGTTCGTTACGGCCTGGCAACTGGGTTTCATCTGACTGGCGCTGCGATCCGGCGACAACTTTCATCGTTCGCTGTGCAAACTGTGCTTCTCGACGACTTTTTTTATCAGCCTCGGGGGAACCTGTGTGCGACCTGCCCAAGCAACGAACCATTCGCAAGCGCCTCGAGGTCTGTGTCCGACGAAATAGCCCACCCAAATTCCAACTTGAAGCGACAATCTCGACGATCTTTGCCCCTTCCCAACGCGGTTTGGGCTTGGCACGGGCTGACCTGACGTCGCGAAACAATTTGTGGATAACCGAGATCCGCGGTACGAATTTTTTGCAAGAGCCCAGAGGCGGGAGCAGGGCACACACACCCGTCGGCTGGTTTGTGTACAACGAAACAAAACGAAAACATTCGTCTGGCTCTATCGTCTGCCCGGGAGAACCAGTCGCCTGCGCCTTTTCGCACAGCCAAGCCTCGCACAGCCGATTCCCGTACCTGAGCAGCACACCACAAAATGAGCTCTGCTCGGAGGTCTCTGTGTCCTCGTGTGCGCCCCGTCGCCTGTGCCCAATTCTGTGCGCCCCGCTCGTTCGGGCAGTCGCAGGATCTCCAGCCGAGAGCAGCAGCTCCCGCTGGCAGGCAGGGAGAGTGGGAGGGAGGCAAGCAGAGGGATGCGGACATCCCGCGAACGCGGGCATCCCGTGAAAGCGCAGTCGAGATGTTCGGGGAACAGAATACATAAAGGGGAGCATCCTTCGTCTGAAATATCCATCTTTCACTCCCTCGATCTCCTCTCATTCACGAGTTCTGACCGTCGGTGTTTCCAACACACTCCTGCCTTTTCGGATTCCAAGTCACTCGTGAACCAGTCTCCTTGAATATCACGCCTGTTCTCGATTCACTCGTTGTGACACATTTACTCGATTTCTCCGCTTAGTAGCTCTAGCTCGTGCCCGTACAGCACATTCGGCTTCCCGCCCAGCGCTGAACTCGAGCCGACGTCGATTCGCAATCCACGTTCCTCGCGCCTACCTCTTCGAAGCTGCCTCCTCTCTCCTCTCTCCCTCCCTCTCCTTCTCGTTCTCTCTCCTGCCAACGCCTCAGAACCACCAATGGCTTCTTGCTGGCCCATTCCCGAGTGCGCAATGCAACTAAGTGCCACATCAACTCTGGGCCTCAACTGCCAGGCGGGGTTCGAACGACCAGGCATCATCACAGTCTTGGCGTCGATTCTCGATAGAGTGGTCGCAGTAAGCGAACAAGCTCCTCCCAGAATCTGCGGCAAGACAGGTCAGCAGCTGACGGTGTTTCACGGTCTCAGAGCGCCTGGAATCAGCATCGCCAAATACCTGGATCGGATATTTAAGTACGCCAACTGCAGCCCGTCGTGCTTCGTGATCGCGTATATCTACATCGACCGATTGATCAAGTCGCAACCGGACATGGTCATCACGTCGCTGAACGTCCATCGCCTGCTGGCGACGAGCGTCATGATCGCCGCGAAGTTTCTTGACGACGAGTAAGTTACCACAACATGACCTAGCTCACCTCATTAATACACACAATGAATCGAATTTGAGCGAATTTCACGCGACATGGCTTTCTCATTCGCGTCATGTCCAGTGAAACAAGTTGCTAACTCTTTTCTCCCTTTCTTCTTTCTCCTTCCTTCTCCTACAGATATTACAATAACGCGTATTACGCCAAAGTCGGTGGTGTTGCTACAAGCGAGATGAACAGATTAGAGTTGGAGTTTCTCTTCCGGATCAAGTTCCGATTGAACGTAACGACAGAGGAGTTCATGGAGTACTGCAAGCTTCTAGAGAACGAGCTCTGGACATTGTGTCAGGTGCCGCAGGAGATGCAATACGTGATGGCGACAACAGCGGCTCACGAGGTTCAGATTCAACAACAATACGCCTACGATTACTCTACAGCTGCTGCGATGAATAAAGCTTTGGCGTCGGGAGGGGATGCGGTGCAGACACCCGAGCAAAGAGCGGAGTTGAGAAGATACGCCAGCCCTCAGGATATCTGCTTAGTGGCTGCGTCATAGTAGCGGTCAAGAGTGCATTGAGAATTCAAAAGGAGTAGAGACTCCAGGTCCCTATACGAATTCAATGTAACATAACACTTTTGACATATACTAGGCCCAATCATTATTTTGTATTAGTTTAGGTTTTTTAAGTTTTATTACGCCACGTGCAAACTTTCTCTACCTCGTGTTTCTGTGTCTTTTGCTCACATAGCTTTTCCTTGTGTGCCATTTGTCGGCGATCCTGGACGAGCTTGTGTTGATGTCCTTTACTCCATTTTTCGGCAGACAGTGATCATGATTGATGGCCCCTTGTCCTCCAAATTTAGGTCATCACTGAGTTTACCGACACGATTATCACCGTCACGCAAACGTTCACTGAGCTTACCGCTCATTTTTTATTAGTGGGAGGCATTCATCGTTTATTGCAGGTGCAGCGTCAGTCATCCACTTTCTTCCAAGCCGCGCGCTCGTTTTCCGCCATGGTTTTTATCAGAATCAGGGCCTAGAACATAAGATTTCGTGACCAGACAGGAATCAGGATCAGGCGTGATCAGCCACGTGCGCAACCTGGACAGGGTTTTTGCGGGCGGGGTTTGGCCCGAGGGGAGGGGAGGGGGAAGTTTCCCCGGGGAGAAAAGTAGTGGGGATGGCGGGAGATAAATATCCTGATTTTGGGGGATGGGGGAAACAGGGGGGACGAAGAGCGGAGAGCTCGAAACGAAGGCGAGATGCCAGACTGGCGGAAATGGAGCACCCCATGATTGGTGTAGAGCACCCAGTGGGATGATGTTACGCTGGCACTGCGCGTATGGTTGATGGATGGGGAGGGCGAAAGGGCGGGTCGCCTGTTGATCGCCAATCGTGGAAGTCGTTCAGAGTCGCTTCGCCGACGCCTCTCGCTCGCCCGAATTATCGGCGGGGCGAACGACAAAAAGCGAAACCTGGCGAGCGCGGGCGGTGTGCTTTCTAGGGTTGACGTGAATTTCCGGTTTCGGAAAACCTGGGCAGGATAGAAGTTACTGTAGAAGTGTGGTTCCAGTGGCTCAAGCGGGTCCCCGATCTCCGTTGACATTTCGCTGGGTGCTGCACTCGTTCTTATTGGCCGCACCAGGCTGACTCTGTCAGCCGCACCACATTTCACGGGATTGTCAATCTAGCACCTGACGGTGTCTCTGCTTTTGGCGCAAAGCTCGTTTCCCTCCCTGCTCGCCACCCCAATGGTTATGTACCGCTTCTGAGCACAACCCGTGTTTAGACATAAGAGGGTGAATACAGCCAGGTTTGTGGGTGCATTGGAATGAGATACATAACGAAAGCAATATGTAGGCCTTCATCATCATTCACCCTAGGAACCTCCAATTCAGCCTACTCCCAAATTCATCTTCCAGGATGGACCAGACCAGACCACCAATGCCCAAATTCACACATCTCTTCCGCGAGGGACATGAATTGAGCCAGCTTCGGGGGTGCGTTGGATAAGTCCTGAACCAAGAAATAGCTCACATACATCGTCACTTGGCTCTACCATGCGCATTGCTGACAAATAATTATCTCAGACCATTCTGAGTGTTCTATAACATTGGCAATCCAACCAGTCACATCTCACTGCTCTAAGATGGGACCACGGCCATCATACAACCCGCCGTCACTCCATCTAATCAGTGAAAGCATCACCTAAAGATGCACCGGCCCACCTACCCGCTTCATTCCCGCTTACACCCTCAAGGGATTTTGAAGGCAATCACTAGACCACCGCGGATCTCATCGCAAAAACGTGGGCGGGAAAGTGTTGCTGGCTACGTGGGAACCCCCGTCACTGCTTGACCCGTCATCCTCCCAGTTCACAACCAAAAGGTTATTCTGCCCCATGTTGCCCTCCACCACCTCCCTCCGTTGATCGAGCGTCCATCTACCGTCCACAATGAACTTGACCTGGCAGAAAACATTTGGAAACAAGAAAATAGAGTCAATATAAGAAGAGGGCGGTGCAGTGAGAAAGGGGAGTGCAAGATATGAGTCTGGGGAGGGCGAGCGGGAATGACAAGTGCATGGTGCAAGACACAAGATGGGGGTAAGGGGGTTGTATGCTGACTGATTCTACGAAAAATCGAGGACGAAGGGAAGGGATATTGCGAGAGGGAGAGTGCATAAATCAGAGGAAGGAGTGGGAATACCGGATGAAGAGGGTTAGCTGGTACCTAGAGTACAGCCCTAGAATGTACCGAGGGTACCACATAGAACCGCACAGTACCTGATAGTGGCCTGGATAGAGCCAAAGAGTGCATGACCAAATCATGGCACCCCTGGGACAGAAAAAAAAAGGGGGCAGGGGAGAGGGGGAGGGGGGGAGGGAGAGGGAGGTGGGGGGGGGGGGGGGGGGTGGGGGGTTAAACTGTGCATGCCTTTTGATGCTCCTCAAAAGCCAAAGAGTGCATGACCAAATCATGGCACGCCTGAGGTGGAACAGTTGGTGGGGGAAAGGGGGGAGGGGGGGAGGGTGGGAGGGAGGTGGAGGGGGGGAGGTGAGCCAAAGAGTGCATGACCAAATCATGGCACCTCTGAGACAGAACAGTTGGAGAGGAAGAGGGGGAGGGGGGTGGGGGCTTAGCCTGTGCAGTGCAGGCATGTGACTGAACATTCACAGAACAGAAAGGACCTCAGAAGGGATTTCTGAGGCGCCTCAAAAGTCGTCTTTTGAGGCGTCTCAAAAGGGAAGGGGGTGGGGGTTTAGCCTGTGCAGTGCAGGCATGTGACTGAACATTCACAGAACCCTGTGAACATTCCCAGTCTTTTGAGGCGTCTCAAAAGGCTCAATTCATGTCCCTGACCTCAGAAGGGATTTCTATTGAATAAACCCTGGCCAAACCCCAGTGCAACCAGAGGAAGAAAAGGCACACCACATCCACCGTGCCTGCTTTTACCGTGCCTGCTTTTACCGTGCCTGCTTTTACCGTGCCTGCTGTTACCGTGCCTGCTTTTACCGTGCCTGCTTTTACCGTGCCTGCTTTTACCGTGCCTGCTTTTACCGTGCCTGCTTTTACCGTGCCTGCTTTTACCGTGCCTGATTTTACCGTGCCTGCTTTTACCGTGCCTGCTTTTACCGCGCCTGCTTTTACCATATACCTGCTTCCACTGTTCCTGCTTCCACCGTGCCTGCTTTTAGCGAACCTGCTGCTGTGTACCTGCTGCCATGGTACCTGCTGCCACAGTACTTGCTGCAGTCATGGTTGCAAATGTGCGATGACTCATCATGCACCAAGGGCACGTGGCTCTGCCACCACATCTTGTTCCACCATACCTGCTGCTTTCACCGTACCTGCTGCTTTCGCCGTACCTGCTGCTTTCGCCGTACCTGCTGCTTTCACCATACCTACTGCTTTCACCGTACCTGCTGCTTTCGCCGTACCTGCTGCTTTCGCCGTACCTGCTGCTTTCACCATACCTGCTGCTTTCACCGTACCTGCTGCTTTCGCCGTACCTGCTGCTTTCGCCGTACCTGCTGCTTTCACCATACCTGCTGCTTTCACCGTACCTGCTGCTTTCACCGTACCTGCTGCTTTCACCGTGCCTTCTGATTTCACCGTACCTGCTGCTTTCACCGTGGCTTCTGATTTCACCGTACCTGCTGCCATCGTGGTTGGGAATGTGTGAGGATTCATCGGGCACCAAGGGCACGTGGCTCTGCCACCCGTTGAAGCTGCCCGCTAGCAGCACCTCGTGGCCGTCACCCCAATACTCCACCTCCACCTGATGGGGAGAGAGGGGATGCGGGAGACAAGGGGTACGGTGAATGTTACAGTTGAGAGAGTAGGCAAGGTCAGTCGCCCCCCTCTCTGCTGCCCGCTAGCAGCACCTCGTGGCCCCACCACCATCTGATTGGGAGAGAGGGTGGAGTGAGAGGAGGAGGGTGGTGACAGGAGGTAGGGACGTAGGGAGGAAGGGTCGGTGACCTTCCTCTCAGCTGCCAAGCAGCACCTCGTGGCCCTCGCCCCAATACTCCACCTCCACCTGATGGGGGGAGAGGGGGAGAGAGAGGAGGCAGAGGTGGGGACGTAGGGAGGTGGGGTCAGTGAACCTCCTCTTCCCTCACTGCCCGCTAGCAGCACCTCGTGGCCCTCGCCCCAATACTCCACCTCCACCTGAATGGGAGAGAGGGGAGATAGAGAGGCAGTAGGTGGGCTTTAAGAATCCCCTCTCATCTGCATGCGAGCAGCGCCTCATGGCACTCTCCCCATTACTCCACCGCCACCTGATGGGGAAGGGAAAGCAAGGAGCAGAGTGGGGGACGATCTAGTCAACTGCCCATCACTGCCCACCACTGCCCACCACTGCCTTCCTTCCCGTCAACCCTCTCACCATTCAACATCCACATCTGCCTCCAGCTTTACACGTCTTTCCAACAAGACCACATCATTCACTCACTTATAAACCCTGTTATCTGTTATAGTCACCTTCATTAAAAACCCTAATGCCGGCTGAGCGGCCCCCAGCTTGACTTCTCCCGCCAGCACAAATACACCAGTCACTCGTTATTGCCACCACCTTATATTCATTATAATCACCTTCACTAGAGCCCCCATGGCCTGCTGAGCAGCCTCCAGCCTGATATCTCTCTCCAACACAGCCTGCCGAGCCAGCGCCAGCTCACTCTCTGCATTCGCCTTCATCACATGGAACTGCGCCTGCAAGGGGGCAAGGGGGTAGTGAGGGGGTGTGCAAGCAGAGAGGGAGGATGCATTGAGTGGGTTGAGTGTGCTTTCATTGCCCGCGCCAGCTCGCTCTCTGCATTCGCCTTCATCACATGGAACTGCGCCTGCAAGGGGATGCGCATGGAGGAGTGAGAACAGTGATGGAGGGCGCAAAGCAGAGAGAGGGAATGCACTGAGAGAGCTCTGAGAGAGTGCACCAGCGCCATTGAGAGAGGGTGCGGTGAGAGAGGGTGCAGTGAGAGAGGGTGCAGTGAGAGAGGGTGCGGTGAGAGAGGAGATGGTGGTATCACTGGCGTGACAGCAACAAGGAAGGAGGATACCACCGTGTCCACATCAGCGCCACCGTGGGTGCATCTAAACAACCCTACCATCCACATCAGCGCCACCGTGGCATCTGATGCGCCACATCATCTAAAGAACCCTACCGTCCACATCAGCGCCGGCTCGCCCTCTGCTTGGACACCAACTCCCTGAGATTCCAACTTTCTTCACTCGTTGCCGTGCCACTTCACGCCCTAGCGCACCCACGAACACTCGCACCTCATTGCAACAATCTCCTGCTCCGTTTCCTCGCATTCTCCCTCCCTCGCACCCACACACACTCACACACCCACATTCACGCCTACCTACCTTGGCCTCCTCCATCTCACGCATTATGACTGAAAGCTCCTCCTCCTCCACACCCACACACTCACCTGTCTTGGACTCTGTTCGTTCACACCCACACGCCCACTCACACTCATAGCCACACCCACATTCACGCCTACCTACCTTGGCCTCCTCCATCTCACGCATTATGACTGAAAGCTCCTCCTCCAAACCCACCCACCCTCCTACCATGGCCTCTGTTCACACTCACCCTCCACTCATATCCACACCCTCACTCACACACCCCACAACCACATGCACGCCTACCTTTGCCTCCTCCATCTCCCGCATTATGACTGAAAGTTCCTCCTCCCTTGACGCCTGATGGGAGACAGTGAGGAGTGACAAGAGACAGGAGGGGCACGGCATGGGAAGGTCGGGGAAAGACGGGAAAGTCTTAGCCGGCTCAAAAATCCCGCATTATGACTGAAAGCTCCTCCTCCCTTGACGCCTGATGGGAGAGAAGAGGGGCGGTGAGGAGGTGGGGCGGAGGAGAGGGGAGAGGATGGACGGCAAGGGAGGAGGAATGACAATGGAGAGGAGGAGAAGGAGTAAAGGGGCAAAGACAGGAATCATACAATGGCCGAATCACACAATGGCCCATCTCCTCCCCCATTATGACTGCAAGCTCCTCCTCCCTTAACGCCTGATGTCCAGTTCAATCGTGAGGAGGGGTGACAAGGGAGGCATGCAAGGGAAGCGTCACGGAGAGAGGGGCACTTTTGTAGTCGATTCAAGAACGACGCTTCGCTGATTCAAAAGTGACGCTTCGCTAATTCAAAGTTCCCTGCATGGAGAGAGGGGCACTTTTGTAGTCGATTCAAGAGTCCCGCATTATGACTGCGAGCTCCTCCTCCTCCCCTAACGCCTCTTGCGCGAGAGCGAGGAGTGGCATGAGGGGAATGGCAAGGAATGGGTCTCAAGGAGAGAGAGAGGCATGGGAGATTTGGAAAAGTCGGGCATGAAAATTTGGGTGGGTGTCCAAAATTTCGGCTCTTCTCGAGAGTGAGAGAGAAGGGGTGAGTTAAGGGGCTTAAGGGATGGAGGTTATCATGGATAGCACTGCATGTTTGTGTTAGAAATAGTCCGTCAACACTTTGTACTATATTCTATATCGGTTAGGTTACTTTGTAGGTTGGGTGTAGATTTGTAATCCCAACCCTATCTGGTTGGGATTCCCTCGTAATCCTGCAAATCTGCCAACTCACCAATTGGAGATTTGCTAGGATTCCCATCCCATCCTTTCCCTAGCTTTGCTCAACCCAACCGTGTTTGTACTTAAGGCCTCGTGCCTTCCTTATCAATCAATCAGTTCAGTTCCAATTCTATCAGTTTGTACCCCTGCTGAATCAATACAAAGGACCGTTTGAGAGAGAAGGGATTCCTCAATCATTTCCCTCCTGCCTTGTCCTATGACTATATAAGGGCACTTCCTCAGTGTGGGTGCCCAGATTCGCTCTCTCGCTCTCTCTAGCTCACCAGCAAGGATTTGATTCTCTCTAGCTCACCAGCAAGGATTTGATTCTCTCTAGCTCACCAGCAAGGATTTGATTCTCTCTAGCTCCAGTTCAGCCTCTTCTGAAAAGAGCGTCGCCTGAGAGGAGATTGACGGGGGGAAGGGAAGGGTTGGGAGGAAAGACACGGGGAAATGGTAAAGAAAGAAGGAGCAAAACGAGAAGGATGGGACGAGCTTGATTTTGAGAATTCTCAAAATCAAGCTCAAACAAGAAAGACACGGGGAAATGGTAAAGAAAGAAAGAAGGAGCAAAACGAGAAGGATGGGACGACAAATTAGCCGGGCGACCGATGGGTTTTCAACATATAAACCGCGTGCAACGTGCTGATTCAATAGTCAACTGAAAAATAGAAGAACGAGAAGGATGGAATGACAAATTAGCCGGGCGACTGGAGGTGAGAAGAGAGGAGAAGGGAAGAGAAGAGAAGAAAAGAGAAGAGAAGAGACGAGAAGAGAAGAGAAAAGAAGCGAGGGTGAGGGATGGAAAAACTGAGCAATGCAAGGAGGGAACCAGTCCACCGACTTTTGAGGCGACTTTTGAGGCGCCTCGAAAAACTGAGCAATGCAAGGAGGGAACCAGTCCACCGACTTTTGAGGCGACTTTTGAGGCGCCTCGAAAAACTGAGCAATGCAAGGAGGGAACCAGTCCACCGACTTTTGAGGCGACTTTTGAGGCGCCTCGAAAAACTGAGCAATGCAAGGAGGGAACCAGTCCACCGCTCTCTCACCTGACTGGCCGCCAGTCTCTCTGCCTCCGCCATAGCTTCATCCTCCCACGCCCCCATGCCGCCCGCCCACTCCCCCTCTTGAGACGTCTTGTGTCCCACCTGACTGCCTGCACACCTAACTGCCCCTTGTTCTAACCTCACCTGCCTAGCCGCCAGTCTCTCTGCCTCCGCCATGGCTTCCGCCTCCCACACCTCCATGCCTCCATACCACCCACCCAAGGCGAAGAGAACAAGGGGGCTTACAACTTACTATTGTGTCTCACCATACTGACCTGCCTGCCTGCTCACCTGCCTAGCCGCCAGCCTCTCTGCCTCAGCCATAGCTTCTGCCTCCCACGCCTCCATGCCCTCCCCCCACTCCCCCTCGCCTGCACTCCCACTGCTCCCCCCGCTCCCCTCACTCCTGCTGCTGCGTAGGAAAGCGAAAGAGGGCGAGGCAAAGGGAGAGAGAGCGGGATAAGCACAGGGAGCGACAGAAGGAGAAGCGCAGGGAAGACATACAGGGAGAGGCAAAGGGAAGTGGCACAGGGAGAGGCAATGGGAGAGAGAGACAGAGGGAGAGGCGTTAAAGGGTCAGTGAGTGGGAGTAGGAGAGGAGCACCAGGCAGACGTGAGCAACGAGGCGAGTATGCAATGAGAGAGTGTAAATTCGCCTCGTTTCATTAACTCGACCCGTTTTGCCTAATCGTATGGTTCCTTTAGATGCCATGCCATTGCCATGCCATGTCATGTCATGTCATGTCATGTCATGTCATGTCAGGGTCAAAGGCAGTCGATGGAAGGAAGTAGGAGGACCAGGGTAGGGAGGGTTAGTCTTTGAACTTCGAGTCGACTCAAGAGTCACCAGGGGTACGGACGGACGGGTTGTTGTTCACGCAGCTTTTTCTGCCGATTTATGCCTATAATCATACGGAAGCTTCGAGGAAACTTCGTAGGGAGTGACGGGGACGGGAGGGGGAGGCCGGGCCCGGGGCGTATTGTAAGCAGGCGAGGAGAGAAAGGTGTCGCTTGACTGGACAGCCGATCGGTTTACCGACTCGCGAGCCTGGTAGTGCGAGCGAGCGTCGTCAGGAGTACCATTTCGTACATCCTGCTCCTCCAGAAACTGTCCTCTTCCTCAACCCTCTGCCAATTCATACCTATAATCGTAGGGAAGGCTCGAGGAAGCTTTGTAGGGAGCGACAGGGGCGGCAGGGGGAGGCCGGGCCCGGGGCGTGTTGTAAGCAGGCGAGGAGAGAAAAGTGTCGCTTGACTGAACAGCGGATCGGTTTATCGACTCCTGAGCCTGCGAGCGTGCGTCGTCAGGGATACCATCGTACATCCTGCTCCTCCAGAAGCTATCCTCCTCCTCCTCACCCCACTCCTCCTCCTCCCCCGCCTCCTCCTCCACCTCCTCCTCATTTTCCTCCGCCTCCTCCACCTTTACCCCTGCCTCCCTCACCTCATTTCGCACTGCCCTTCTCTTTCTTCCCCCCTCCTCCTCTCCTTCCTCCTCTCCCTCCCCGGCTTCACTCTCCGACTCGCTGGCTGAGTCCAGCTTACTCAGGTCCAGATTCAGGCTCGGGAACAGCCAGGCGACTTCTGGGGCGATATAGCCATCACCTTCGTTACTGTCACCACCGTCAGTGTCACTAGCGCTCCCAGTGTCTTGGGTGCTTGAGAGGGATATGGGGGTGATGGGAGGAGAGGAGGAGGGGGAGGGCGAGGGAGAGGGGGAGGGAGAAGGAAAGGGGGAAGGAGAGGAGGAGAAGAAGGGGGTGGAGGAGGGGTTGAAGGAGGGGGAGGAGGAAGAGGGAGAGGAGGAGGCGGAGAGGGCGGAGGGAGTGGGGAAGGGAGGTGGAGAAGAGGAGGGTGCTGAGGATGTGAGGCCTGCTTCGCTGTTGCTGGATTGTGGTTGTAGCGAAGATGCTTCAGACGAGGACAGAAGGCCCCTGGGAAAAGAAGACGAGGTGGAGGTGGAAGGTGGAGGAGGCAAGGGGGAGGGAGGGCAGGGGAGTGAGGGCAGGGGGGACGTAGGGAAGGTAGAAGGGAGGGAGGGGGGAGAAATGGGATAGGATGTGTGTGTATGTATGTAGCCCTAACAAAGTAACGGAAGCCTGTCTCCATCGTGGAAACGCAAAAACGCCTATTTCTGAGCCCAAAGAATCAGCCAATGGTGGATGGGAGGGCGGCCATGGAGAAAAGCAGCGAGATTCAGGTGCGGCATAATCATTGGTCTCACCAGCCTGTCCCTTTTCGTATACTGCTCCCTGCTCGTGGTGTCTCACTCCTTGTGCAATAGACGAACCTCTTTCAAAGCCTCCTCCCGCACGCCCCAAGAAGAAGATCCCTCAACAGCACGCCCATCCACCCAACCAACCATTTACACACACATTCACCCACCCTCCCATCCAACCACCCATCCACCCACCCTCCCATCCAACCACCCACCCACCCACCCTCCCATCCAACCACCCACCCACCTCTGCTGCATCCGCTGCTGAAGCACCTTCGCCTTCTGCTGCGCCATGGACATTGCCGATCCTGGCCCCGAGCCTAACGACCCTGATCCCGAGCCTAGCGACCAGCTCTCCACCCTCCCGCCCTGCCCATCCACCCCTTCCGCCCCCCCCGCCTCCCCCCCTTCCGCCCCATCGTCCGCCACTAGCTGTAGCAGCTCGTGCACGCGCCTGTACCCCCTTGTGCGCATGGCCCCCGCCAGGAATGCGCTGAGGGGAGGGGAGAAGGGGAGGGGGGGCGGGGGGGCGGACGCACGGAAAGGCACAGCGTCAGTGCACCCGCCTGTACCCCCTCGTGCGCATCGCCCCCGCCAGGAAGACGCTGGGGGAAAGGTGGGGGGGGATGATGGGTGGGTGGGGTAAGAGGGGAGTGGGGAGTCAGTGCACCCGCCTGTACCCCCTCGTGCGCATCGCCCCGCAAGGAATGCGCTGGGGAATTGGGGGAGAGGGGAGGGGAAGGGGTGGGTTTGGTGGTACGCGAGGGGAGTTGTAGAGAGAGGAGCGCGGTAAGGGAAAATGGAGGGGAGAAAGGAGGAGGAAAAGGAGGGGGAAAGGGAGGGGGAGAGTGGGGAAGGAGACGCCGCCAGTGCGCCTACGTGCGCCCCTTGGTGCGCATTGTCGCCGCCAGATAAGCGCTAGGTGCGCCCCTTGGTGCGCATTGTCGCCGCCAGATAAGCGCTAGGTGCGCCCCTTGGTGCGCATTGTCGCCGCCAGATAAGCGCTAGGTGCGCCCCTTGCTGCCACTGCGTGTATCCATGGTGCCAGTGCGTGCACCACTTAGTACCACTGCGAGCTGCGCCTTACCCGCCGAGCGACGCGACCTCCTTAATCGACGGGAGGTTCTGCTCCGACAGCCCGTTCTCCGCGAGTACCACCCGCAATTGCCGCACGAATGCCACGTCGGACTCGCTGACGTTGCCCGCGGGAATCCTGGAAGAGTCCGACGCACCCGCCGCCGCCACCACCAGCGGCCTTGCTGGCGGCGCGATCGCGCTTTCAAAACGTTTCGGAACGAGACATCGACGTTGCGCGGCTGTGAGAGTTCTGTACGCGTTATGAGGCGCTGCGGTAGCGAGTGACGGCCGGTACAGTTTAGAGGTGGCAAAATGCGGTGTAGGAGAAAATGGTACCGCGACTCCGTGCTGCATGGCTTCGACTGCCATTTCCCTTTCCCCTACTAGTTTTGAAATTGCAACGCGGAGCGATAGTTGGACAAGTTGGAGCAACGATGGGAAGCTCTGACTACGGGATGTTGGCAACTAATGACGAGGAGGATTATCGGCCATAGAAGAACAAACATTTGGTAGTTCGGTCATGAAAGGGGAAGAAAAAGTGTTAGCGTTTGCTACCCTCCAACTCATCAGTAATACGCGGAAGACGCGGGGAGAGCTCGCATCGCGCGAACTGCCGCGTTGTTACAAATACGGGGAGCCCCTGAAGGAGCGGAGCGGACCTTCCAAGTTTCCAGCCGTTATTACCAGGACCAGGCAAAATTGGCGGGAATTGGAGAGACAACCATGCGGCCAGGTGCATGCACACTACCTTGGGAACCGTGATCGGATTGACGAGGAACAAATGTGGCTCGTTACAAGGGCATCACATTCAATGGGCATGCTTTCTTTTGCAGATGCTTGTCCTTCTGCTCACTCTTTCCCCTCATCAAGCAGGATGATTTATTATAGCTCAGAGGATGCTTACAAAAATAGGACATATAGTTCTATTATTGTATATATGTTAGGAAATTGAGGGATACTATATATTCATGTCAGAAATATACATTTATTTTTAGTGTTTTAACACTAAATATATGTGAACAACAGACATTCATGCATTTTCTACAACAGCTCTATGTAGAATATTGGAGAGTGAGTACCAGTTTGCGAATTTCAATGCTGTACGGAGTTACAGTATAGAGGAATTCATGGTTGAGAAGGCGATTGGCGGATCAGTAACGAGGCAGCATAAAAACTTCGTGTCGTCAAATCTCAGAAATCAAACCCAAACTGACCAGATCGTACCGTTACACACCGTCTGATCAGGTTTCAAATCTCAAGGCAGTGGAAGTGCAAGACCTCCTGCCGCATGCAAATCTCAAGGCGGTGCAATGTCAGTCTCACTTTCACTCTCAGAAGTAGGAACCGTAGACTTGTTAGTCTGCTTTGCTATCCTGTGACTGACTTTGCGTGTACTCCGCCTGGTACGGGTTGTAACGTAGAATGCATAATGTAGAACACGGTTTTGCAGCGCCAGAGGCTTTCGTTTGTGTAATCTTGAACGCCAGTGCGTGTCTGCCAGCTTCGCGGCTGTGTCCATGATATCTGCTGTTCCGAACGTCGCTCTCTCGCCAGTTCGCTCCCCCGGACGTCCGAGATCGAGGGGACTAAAGCGTTCACAGGAGCCTGCTGACATAAGACCGTAGCGAGATCGGTTCTTGTGATCGTTTCTAGCTACAATTGACAGGAGTCTGTTGTCAAAAAACAGATACTATTTACTACAACGTGACTAGTACCCCGAAACGGCGACTTGAACAACTTCGCTCCTAGAAATCATGTTTCCGGAACAGTTCTGACAGCTCGCACAACCAGGCACAAGCAGTCGTGCGTAGCCCCGCCTCGCACTAGATCTCGCTGTAGTCGCGGCTGATGTTTCGGCTATGTTGACGGCTAGCCGTCAATTGACTCCAGAGCATGCAGCGAGATTTGGACTAGTTCTACCGGAAGCTTGAGAGTAACCGCTATGATCGGTCACTAGAGAGCTCAGACGTTCAACAAAGAACGTTCTTGTAGCATTCGTCTGCAGATTGCCTGAGAAGATCTCATGTCGTCCAGTTGCGTGTCTCATTAGGTAGAAAACGCACGATGCCTGTTGGCATTCAATCGCAGATAGTATGAGACTCCCAGAGCATCGTGTAACAAGCTTGTGATTTTTGTCAGCACATAGACCGAGAGAATCCAGAGTTCAAGACAGCCACTATGGCCGGCAACATCCGTCTGCAGCGGCGGCTGCAGCGCAAGGCGAAGGCGCGGCGGCAGCAGCTGAGCTACCGCACCATCCGCTCGGCGTTCCTCGTCGCCGCGCTCTGCTCCGTCACGTACGCCTGGGTCATCTTCCTCAGAGCCCCCGACCATACGTACGTACGCCTGGGTGATCTTCCTCAAAGGCTCCGACATAGGTACGTACGCGTGGGTCATCTTTCACAAAGACTTCGCGTTACGCGTACGTACACTGGGGTCATTTTCCTCAAGGGCTCCAGACCATGCGTACCTACGGTGTTGCTTCACATACATGCCTCATGAAGATCTTAAGTACTCGGCTTTGATCTTCCGCGGATCCACGTGTACCCCTTCGGCACTCACCATGTGCCCAACGAACTGCACCTTCTTCAGGGCGAAGTCTCTCTTCGACTGCTTCACGTAGAATTGTATTTCAAAGACTTTCCGTAGATGCTCCACGTGCTCCTTCATGTTCTTTTAGTAGATCAATAAATCGTTTAGGTACACTACGACTCACTCGTCCAGCATGGGCCGAACGGCATCACTAGAAGAAAATACTTCTTCCCTCCTCTTCCTACACCCTCCGCTGTGACCTCGTGTGACCTGCAGTGGTGGTGGGTTGCGTCCACCAAGGACCATGTGCACCTTGAGTCAAAACACAAGTTAAAAACAGTCTACCCTTCCTCTCTTCCTGCACCCCCCCTGTCACCTCATGTGCTCTGGCTGCAGTGGTGGTGGGGTCTGTCCACAGGCGACCATCCTGAGCTCATCAAGGCCCGCTTCGCCAGTGTACGCACCACGTTGCAGCACCAACCCGTACCTCCTTGCAGCACCGCTTTGAAGCACCGCACCACCTTTGCAGCCATTCCTTGCACCATTCGCAACTGTCTGCTGAAACCATTCTCTACCTGCTTCTGCAGTTCTACCTCCGTCCAACGCTTCAATTCCGTGTCATGCACCTCTCTCTCCCGCCCTGCCGATCCTCCTTCACGCCCAATTCTCTCACCTCTTGACTAACTGGTCGTTTGTTTTCCACATCCTCTGTGCGGTGCGCCACTCCCTGTGGTTGCAGAGAGCGCGTGAGCCACCAGTGCGTGCGACCCTCCCCTGCATACGCTGGTCTGTTGCACCCCTCCCCTGCTTACGCTGGTCAGTCACTGAGATTTGAATAGCGTACAAAAGCTATGCAGCTCACCCACGTTCTTGGCTATACAAACTTGAATACGCGTGCGACCCTCCCCTGCATATAGCTCACCCACATTCTTGGATCTTTGTTTGTGTCCCTGCATTCACCGGAATCCAAATTGCCTGTTTCAAAGTCGGAAGTTTTCGGGTGCCCGGTTGAACTCCCCTGTGTTCCCTCCACTCCAATGCCTGTCCCCAAATTTCCTGTTCAGAGTCAGGAGTTTTTGGGTTCTCACACAGTGTCACGATGCCTTTCCATTGCCCGCCTTTAAACGCTTCTCTGGAGGAAAGGCTTTTAAAGTTCACAAGTTCCATGTCGACAGACTTGCCCGCTCAGCCTCTCTTTTGTCCCTTCTCCCACTATCATGCCATGCCACCCCTCGTTTGCCTACCTGCAGACCCGCCATCTAAGAGCACCTGGTTGAGGTCACAGATGGATCTATAAATATCTCTCACTTTCCAGCTCACCTTACATGTGTGATGAGTCGATTTTTGAGTCGACTCAAAAATCCTCTTAAAGAGTCTCAAAAATGCCTTCTCGTGCCGACCTTCCCTCCCATCCTGCAGAAGCACCTTTGTACGAGTCAACAGGATACCTGCAGGTGTTCCTGGAGAATCTAAAATTTTTCCCCTCATGCCTCCCTCCCGTGCCTGCCTGTAGATGCGCCCCTGTTCGAGTCAACGGGGTACCTGCAGGTGTTCTTGGAGACTCTGAAAATCCCCTCTCTTGCCACCCCGTCCTCATTGCCTGCCTGCAGACGCGCCTCTATACGAGTCAACAGGGTACCTGCAGGTGTTCTTGGAGACTCGGAAATCCCCTCTCTTGCCACCCCGGCCTCATTGCCTGCCTGCAGACGCGCCTGTGTACGAGTCAACAGGGTACCTGCAGGTGTTCTTAGATGGGGGTCTCAACCAGCAACGCATTAGCGTAAGCCGTTCTGCAACCATCTCTATCCATCTGCATCCACCTGTATAAAACTCCACCCATCTGTATTGTTCTGCAACCGTATTCAGTTATCTGCACCCACCTCTACTGATTCAGCTAAAACTCCTGTGGTGCTCGCCTGCGCAATGTGATAGCTCATCTAGTCAACCTAAGATGTCAATGTCTCTCCTCTCCTCCTCCCTCGCTGCCTCCCTGTGCGTGTGTCACATCTGCAATGCGGTGGCAGTGGCGCGCCTGCTCAACTTGATGATTTGAGTCACTCAAGAGTCAAATTCTTTCTTCTCTTTCTCCCTCTCTGCCTGTCTCTGTGCGTGTCAGATCTGCAACGCGGTGGCAGTGGCTCGCCTGCTCAATGCCACGCTGCTCATTCCGCACTTTCAGATCAACCCCGTGTGGCTCGACGACAGGTAACTGTGCTCCCAAGGAACACAGTGTGTGCTGCTGTTGCTGGAAACCACCGCCTGCTGCTGACAAGCAACAGTGCCTGCTCACAGTAAATCAGAGCAATAAGTGCAATACAACCGAACCAGGTGCTGCAGACTCGAATCAGCAGGCGCCTCGAAATTCCTCTCCCCCACACACGCTCGCTCCCTCCTGTTCTTCTCCTCTTCTGACCCCCGTCCCAGCCAGTTCGAGAACATATTCGATATCAAGCACTTCCCCTCACGTAACCCTCCCGTAACCCTCCTTTCTACCCGACACCTCCCACCCTGCTCCTCCTCTTTTACCCCTTTCCCAGCCAGTTTGAGGACATATTCGATATAGAGCACTTCATGCGCTACCTACAGCGCGACGTGCTGATAGTGAGGCAGCTGCCGCACAAGTACCGGTGGAGCACGCGCGAGTTCTACAGCACGGGCGTGCATCAGAACCGCATCAAGTTCGCCCCCATGCATGCATCGCCTGAGTGGTACCTCAAGAACGTGCTTCCAAAGTTACAGCGGTAAGTGCTGGGAGACATTCAGCTAGCCAAGTCACTGATTTCTAAGCTCGTTTGAGAGCTCGTCGCCCCCATGCACGCCTCCCCCGCTTGGTACCTCAAGAACGTCCAGTCGAAGCTACAGCGGCAAGTGGTGGGAAACATTTAGCTAGCCAAGTCAAACGAGCTCGTCCTGGCGATTTTCTATGCACGCCTCCCCTGCTTGGTACCTCAACACGGGTTGCTTCGAGACTGCCTCTAATTCCACATCTTTCTCTCGCTCCCCCCTCCTCTCGCCTCAAACCCCCCACCCCTCAACCATCAGCCATGGCGTGGTGGCAATAGCGCCCTTCACCCACCGCCTCGCCTTTAACGCGCTGCCTAATGCAACCCTTTCCCCCTACCCCCACCCACCCCTTCCCCTCCCCCCACCCCTCAACCATCAGCCATGGCGTGGTGGCAATAGCGCCCTTCACGCACCGCCTTGCCTTTGACGGCCTGCCTCCAGACGTGCAGTGCCTGCGCTGCCTTCTCCCCCTTTCCCCCCCTCATTTCCCCCCGTTCCCCCCTCTCAGCCATGGCGTGGTGGCAATAGCGCCCTTCACGCACCGCCTTGCCTTTGACGGCCTGCTAAGAGACTGCCTCTACTTCTCCTCCTTCTCTTCTCTCCCCCCTCCTCTCGCTTCCCCACCCCCACCCCCACCCCCGCCCCCACCCCCCCCACCCCTCAACCATCAGCCATGGCGTGGTGGCAATAGCGCCCTTCACCCACCGCATCGCCTTTGACGGCTTGCCTTCTCCCCCCTTCCCCCCTTTCTCCCCCCATTCTCCCAGCTTACTCCCCCCATTCTTCCCCCTTTCTCCCCCCTTTCTCCTCCCTCCCACCATCAGCCACGGAGTGGTGGCAATAGCGCCCTTCACCCACCGCCTCGCCTTTGACGGCTTGCCTCCAGACGTGCAGCGCCTGCGCTGCCGAGTCAACTTCCATGCGCTGCGATTCGTGGAGCCCGTCCGGAGGCTCGGGTGAGTGACAGAGGCTGGGGTGAGTGGAGGAGGCTTGGGTGAGCCAAGGCTTGGGTAAACACAGCTATACGTGTAACCAGGGCTTTAGAACAGATGTGCAGCGCGCTGCCGTGTCAACTTCCATCGGTTTGTGGAGCCCGTCAAAAGGCTCGGGTGAGTGGAGGAGGCTTGGGTGAGTGGAGGAGGCTCGGGTGAGTGGAGGAGGCTTGGGTGAGTGGAGGAGGCTCGGGTGAGTGGAGGAGGCTCGGGTGAGTGGAGGAGGCTTGGGTGAGTGGAGGAGGCTCGGGTGAGTGGAGGAGGCTTGGGTGAGTGGAGGAGGCTCGGGTGAGTGGAGGAGGCTCGGGTGAGTGGAGGAGGCTCGGGTGAGTGGAGGAGGCTTGGGTGAGTTGAGGAGGCTCGGGTGAGTGGAGGAGGCTCGGGTGAGTGGAGAAGGCTCGGGTGAGTGGAGGAGGCTCGGGTGAGTGGAGGAGGCTCGGGTGAGTGGAGGAGGCTCGGGTGAGTGGAGGAGGCTCGGGTGAGTGGAGGAGGCTCGGGTGACTGGAGGAGGCTCGGGTGACTGGAGGAGGCTCGGGTGAGTGGAGGAGGCTCGGGTGACTGGAGGAGGCTCGGGTGAGTGGAGGAGGCTCGGGTGAGTGGAGGAGGCTCAAACTTCCGACCCTTCCTTTCTCTCTCACCAATTCTTTCCTTTTCTTGGCCCCCCATAATATCATTCTTTTTATCCTTCCAGGAAAGTTTTAGTGGAGCGACTGAGGGACCCCAACAGGCGGCATGTGAAGCACCTCAAACGTACAACCCTTCCTTTCCGTCTCGCTCATCCTACCTTTCATTTCACACTCCCCCTGTTTTTTCCGTTCTCCCAGGAAGATTTTAGTGGAACGACTGAGGGACCCCAACAGACGGCATGTGAAGCGCGGCGTGCTGTTTGGGACTGCTCAGGATCGTACGACTTCCCTGATTCGTCCTCTACTATATGACCTTTCTTTTCTCATCTCCCACAGTCACCCTCACCGAACAGACAGCACGTGAAGCACCTCAAACGTACCACCCTTGCTTTCCGTCTCGCTCATCCTATCTTTCACACTCCCCCTGATTTTTCCGTTCTCCCATCCGCCTGTCTCGTTCTCCCAGGAGGATTTTAGTGGAGCGACTGAGGGACCCCAACAGACGGCATGTGAAGCGCCTCAACATTATGACCCTATCCTCGAATCTCTTTCCTGTCTCTCTCACCCTTTCTCCCATCCACCTTTCTCGTTCTCCCAGGAAGATTTTAGTGGAGCGACTGAGGGACCCGAACAGGCGGCATGTGAAGCGAGGTGTGCTGTTTGGGAAGGGAGGGGATGTGTCGAGTTATGGCGGCAAAGGGAAGGTGGGAGGGATTGGGGAGGGAGCAGCGGAAGGAGAGAAAACAGCAGCAGAGAGAGAAGCAGAGGACGAATCAGAGAAGGCAGTAGAGATGGCAGCCAGGAAAGCAGCGGAGATGGTGGGGGAGTTGCAGGAGGCGGCTGGTGCTGGTGCTGGTGCAGGAGAGAGTGGAGAAAGGGCAAAGAGTTCGAGTGAAGGAAAAAATGAGACGGAGGTGACACGTGAAGGGAAAGATGAGACGGAGGAGATGCCTGAAGGGAAGAATGAGACGGAGGAGATCTCTCCAGAGACTCTTGCAGGGGAAGGAGAGGGGAAGGGACGGCGGGAGGAGGAGGAGGGTGTGGGTGGAGGCGATGGGTCAGCTGCTGCTGGGGTGAGGGTGGTTCAAGATGGAAAAGGCCTGTCTGGGGTATCGACTGGTGCAAGTGGTGATGATGAGCGTGATGGTGGTAGTGATGGTGATGGTGATGCTGGTGGTGGTGATGATGGTGATGCTGGTGGGGGTGGTGCTGCTGGTGGTGTTGGTGCAAGTGGTGCTGCTGGTGGCCTGCGGCAAGGGAGCAAAGGTGGTATCGAAGCAGTGGAGGATGAGGGAGAGGAAGAGGGGGAGGGGGAGGCGGAGGGGGGAGGCAAGAGGAGGTTGCTGCAGGAGAGACGGGGAGGTGTGGGGGGTGGAGTAAGTGTGGCGAAGGGAGGAGGCGGAAAAGGAGGAGGAGGAAGAGGAGGTGGAGCAGGGGTGGGTAGGATTGGAGAAGAGGATTCGGAGGAGGGGAGTGAGGGCGCGTTTTGGAGTGAGGATGGGGTGATTGATGAGGCGGCTAGGGAGAGAGTGAGACAGGCGTTGCGAGCAGGGCGAGAGGGGCGAGTGGCGGTGCAGCGAGCTGGGAGCACCACTGCAGGGAGTGAGGGGCGAGTGGTGCCGGAGCGAGCAGGGAGCACCATTGCAGGGAATGGAAGTGTGGGGAACAGCAGTGGAGTTGGGAAAGTGGAGGTGGGAGTGGTGTTGAATGAAGAGGGGGGGCCCGTGGATGGTTTGTCACAGATAGAAGAGAGTGACGATGGAGGGGACATAAGTGATGGGGAAAGCAGTGCAGGCGGGATCCGCAGCAGCAGCAGCAGCGGCAGCAGCAGTGGCAGCAGTAGCATCAGTGGCAGCAGCAAGGAGGGTGGTGCGGGCAGTAGGTTGTTGAGTGGTCGGCCGCTGCTGGGAAAGGAAGGAAGGTGGGGGCGCAAGGAGGGGAAGAGCAAGAAATATGTGGCCATGCACCTGAGATTCGACATGGTAAGGATGGGAGGCACCTGAAATTCGACATGGTGCGGATAGGAATCACCTGGAGCTTACCATCGCTGCTCAAACCTCTCTGTCGTTTTTCTGACACTACCCCTAACCCCTCCAACCGTCCCCAGTCTCAACCTTTTTCTCCCCCTTAGGACATTGTGGCGCACTCAGCGTGCTTTTATGCCGAGACATGGGTGAATTCTCGCTCTCCACTCACCCACTCCCACGCCCTCTCTCACCGGAAATGTGACAATACAGGACATGGTGGCGCACTCAGCGTGTGACTATGGCGAGACGTGGGCAAAGCGAGAGGCGCTGTCAAAGTACCGGGAGTATGCATGGCTGGGCCGTGTTGACAAGCTGCGCTTCTCCTCCGATGAGCTGCGCCTGCAGCTGCTCTCACTCACACATGCATGCACACCGCTCCGGGTTTATTAGACTTCAAGCGGCTAATCCGTCAACTTCTACCCCCTTTCCCCCACTCCGTCCCTTCCAACCCCACCCTCGCCACTCCCACCCCTCCGTTTCTTATGTGACTATACAGGACATGGTGGCACACTCGGCGTGTGACTATGGCGAGACGTGGGCGGAGCGAGAGGCCCTTTCCAAATATAGGGAGTACGCGTGGCTGGGCCGAGTGGACAAGCTGCGCTTCTCCTCTGATGAGCTGCGCCTGGCGGGCAAGTGCCCCCTCACGCCCGAGGAGGTGGGGCTCGTGCTGGCGGCACTCGGCTTCTCCTCTAAAACGAGGCTATATGTGGCGACCTACCAGGTGGGTGCGAGTGGGAGTGGGCAATACACAGGTGTGTGTGCATGGCTACGGATGAGTTGCACCTGGCCGGCAAGTGCCCCCTCACACCCGGGGAGGTGGGACTCGTGCTGGCGGCGCTGGGCTTCTCGGCTAAAACGAGGCTCTATGCGGCGACGTACCAGGTGGGTGTGGACTGTGAGTGTGGACCGTGGGTGTGTGTGTGTGGCTTCTCCTCCGACCATCTCCGCCTGGCGGGCAAGTGCCCCCTCACACCTGAGGAGGTGAGGCTAGTGTTGGCAGCTCTTTTTCACCTGAATTCCTCCCCCTATTCCCCCTTCTCTCGCAGGTGTACAAGGGAGAGAAGCAAATCGCCCCTCTGCGCCGCCTTTTCCCGTGGCTGGAGGACAAGACAAGTCTGGCCACAGAGGAGTAGCTGCGGCCTTGCAACACCCGATTTCACCCCTGTTTCCTCGTGCTCCGCAGGTGTATGGGGGAGAAAAGCGCATAGCTCCCCTGCGTCGCCTGTTCCCCTGGCTGGAGGATAAGACGAGCCTGGCGACGGAGGAGGAGTTGAGGCCATTCCTGGGGAAGGCGTCGCTGCTGGCAGCGCTGGACTTCTATGTCAGCCGCTACAGCGACGTGTTCGTGTCTGCCTCCCTGGGCAACATGCACAATGTGATGGTGAGGATGGGGTGATGGTTAGATGGCAATAAGGCTCTCTTTAGGAGATGGAGGGGAGGGGGGGGGGGGGGGGGGGGGGGGTGAAGGGAAGGTGTCGCTGCTGGCAGCACTGGACTTGTATGTCAGCCGCTACAGTGATGTGTTCGTGTCTGCTTCCCTCCTCAACAAGCACAACGTAATGGTGAGTGAGGCAGCATGACAGGCTGGTATGTGAGGGGATGGGTCAGATATGACTATGTTACATGAGGCGTCGCTGCTGGCAGCGCTGGACTTGTTGAGCAGCTCACCATTACGTTGTGCTTGTACAGTGATGTGTTCGTGTCTGCTTCCCTCCCTCCTCAACAAGCACAATGTGATGTGTATGGTGAGCTGTATGACATGCTGAGGCACCTCGACAATGTGATGATGAGCACAATGGGGATGGTGATGCCTCTCTGATATTCATCGCTATAGAGTCACCTTTCTGCTCGATGCACCCCCCTTATGTTTCACCGCTATGTTGTTTCCCAATGCATTTCAATTTCAGGCTGCACACCGTGCGTACTTTGGCGGTTTAAAGACGATCAACTTCAACGGTACACTCCTGGCAACGCTGCTTGCGGCCCCTCCAAACACCCTCAACTGGAACGAGTTCGTTCGCGCCGTGCGGATCGGGCATCGGTCGCGAATGGGCAAGATCAAGCCGAGGCGTGCCGGGCAATCCATCTACACCTATCCTGCTCCCGATTGCTTGTGCCCTGTGGACGTACCACCATCACAACCCACCGCTGGCGCCGTAACGAGTGTTGCAAACAGTGGTTTGGATTTGTTAACTAGTGATAATATTGATTCAGCCAAGGATGCTGAAGTGGCTACGGATGGGAGAGGCATTCGGGACAATGGGGGTACAAGGGACACTGGTAGGGACAATATGCTAGCGCAAAGACAATGATACGGTACTTAGGTGGACTGGGAAATCAGTGCTGGAAGCTGATACGAGTATGCGTGCTAAAAAGCAATGCATTTATATGGGCTGAAAACGTGCTGAATTTAGGCGATGAGATCTTTGGGCTGATAATTTATATGGTCAATCAGAGAGAACTGTACTAAATTCATTAACGATGAGGGCTCCGTGTGCGTCTAACTGGTGGTTTGATTATTAAATTGAAACGATTATACAGCACGAAAACGAGTATCACAATATCGGAGTAAAAATTCGGAAACAGATCCCGCAGATGGTGAGTGGCGGCGACTTTGCTAGCGATTCCTTCTGACAGTTCTCGACTCGAGCAAACCACGTGGATTTGACTGACCAGCAGAAGTTCGCTCTTGATCTGATCATTGATCGTTGATCGCCTCCCTGATTCCCGGTTCCTCTAATCGCAGCTGGACTGCGGCAACCCATTGGCGCTAGGCGTCTCTCTGCAGTCCGAGCCGATTCAATCGGAGCATTACTGTTAGGCCAAGCTGATTGAAGACGTGACTTAGAGTCCATTGAAAAGTCACATCGCTGCTGTTCCCAGCATTAGACACTCGTGAATTAGCAGCCCCTGTGCAGAAGCATCGACTGTTCAGCGTCGCCCTTCGTTTTCGCGGAAGCAGGATTTCTTTCGTAGTCAACTCAAGGCTCACGTCAGTTCGCGGAAGCAGGGAGCACGGGAGTCGAGCGAGTCGTGCAAGCATGGCGGCGAGAGGCAGGTTCGGCGGGGTGAAGCGCGAGAACGAAGGCTTCGACTTTCAGTACCGCATGTCCGTTGACAACAGTGAGTTTGTGATAACAGTGAGCTTGTGACAGAAGTGATTTTGTGTCAACAGCGAGGTGTGACAATAGCAAGCTGTGAGAAGAGTGAGTTCTGGCAACACTGTGATCTGACTGTAATTAGCTTAGTTTCCTGCATAGGGCAGCACGGCTGGCAAAAGGGGAGGGATCATCCACAGAATACAATTCAGGTGACTTTTGAGTCGACTTAGAGTCGCCTGGATGTAATGTCACTAATAAATGATGCTCCACCCCTGCACAGAATACAATTTTGGCTTTTGAGTCGACTCAAAGGTCAACTTGCCTGGATATAATGTCACTCATAAGTGGTGCTCCACCTGTCCTGTACTGTACAGAATACAATTCTGAGATATCCAATCCAAAATGTAACCCTTCATCTTTGTTGCATGTCGCCAACTCTCCTGTGCACTGTGCTTCGCGGTGCTATGCTGTGCTGCGCGGTGCAGGGTACAAGAAGGCAGTTGAGGGGCGTCGCAGATTGAGACTACTGACCACCTTGCAGGTAAATATCTCATTCTTTTAACTTGAATTTTGATCCGCCTCAAAACCCGAATTCCCACATTATTAAGGGTGCTAACAGAAATAATGGGTCGGACACAGTTTCAGGTGACAATGAGATTCGTTAAGTTTCATCAGTTCTGCACCATATCACAAAGCAACAAGCCATTCTTCCCGTCCACCTTTCCCATCCCTCCCGCCACCCTCTCCCACCACCCCTGGCAGTCGCTCTACTCCTTCCTGCGTGTCCTCATAGCAGCAGCGCTCATGGCGCGTCCTCTCATCACAGCACGCCTGGACGGCAGCACTGCTGGGGGAACGGTGGCACTGCGGGTGGACGTGAAGGAATCGCTGGCAGCGGCGCTGGGAGCAGCTGCAGCTCTCACAGGGAATCTAGGTGTGTGAATCAGAGGTAGTCACAGCCCACGCGTAGGTATGCTTCCACTGGAGCAGCCTCGCCCATGGCTCGCCCTCTCATCACAGCACGCCCGCTTGGCAGTCTCTGTCTGACTTTTGAGGCGCCTCAAGAAAGGTGGGCGAACGGTGGCACTGCGGGTGGACGTGAAGGAGTCGCTGGCAGCGGCCCTGGGAGCAGCTGCAGCTCTCACGGGGAATCTAGGTGTGTGAATCAGAAGCATTCACGGGGAAGGTAGGTATGTGTATCACCACAAGCACTGCACGGCAGCACGGCTGAAACTGGGCGAGCAGTGGCACTGCAGGTGGACGTGAAGGAGTCGCTGGCAGCGGCCCTGGGAGCAGCTGCCGCCCTCACGTGCACTGGGGAATGTAGGTATGTGTATCACCACAAGCACTGCACGGCAGCACGCACAAGGGAACGGTGAAGGAGTCGCTGGCAGCGGCCCTGGGAGCTAGGTTGGAAAAGTCGCGTCCAGCGTACGCTGGCGTATACTACAGGATGCGCTGGAAATTCTCTGCCTGGGCTGGTAAAACTTTTTATGGGCAGTGCTATCCGGAAGATTCGCATCCGCGATTGTCGCGTCACATGAGGAGGCACTAGGAGCTGCACTCGTCGCTTTCGCGGGAGTGCCATTACGCGCTCCCGCGAGTGCACATCACGCGCTCGAGTGCTCTAGCTTTACACCACGCTCTCCCTCATGGCCTGCCTTGCCGCACTCTTTCATCAAAATGATCCCCTCGCCCCATCCCTGCCGTCCCATCTCACACCCCAATGCAGCCTCAGGCACATCACAAGCGCGAGTGCTCAAGCTGTACGCCACGCTCTCCCTCATGGCATGCATTGCCGCGCTCTTGCCACTCCTCACTGGCCCCCTTGTCTACCCGGTGCGCTCTCTCTGCCGCTACCCCCGTGTTTTCCCACTACGCTCTGCCACTACCCCCTTTCTTCCCAGCCTGTGTGGTGGATGGAGGGGTGTGTGGTCAACGCAATGAATTGTGCTGTTGTTGCTTTTCATACCTCTGTACTTCCGTCAGTTGTCTTGTGCACATGCATACATGCACACATGCACACATGCATGCATGCATGCATGCACACATGCACACATGCACACATGCACACATGCACACATGCACACATGCACACATGCACACATGCACACATGCACACATGCACACATGCACACATGCACACATGCACACATGCACACATGCACACATGCACGCATGCACGCATGCACGCATGCACGCATGCACGCATGCACACATGCACACATGCACACATGCATACGTGATAGACCGTCCATCCTCCCTGTCCAGATGCACTGCATTGTGGACGCGCATCGACGAACAGAGGTTGACCTTTGTGGCTCACATGTCCTGTCCTATGAGGAAGAGGAAGAGGAAGAGGTGATGTCCGCAATGCCCTATGCCTCAGATATCACCTCTTCCTCTACACCCTCTGGATCCCCTTTTAACAGGAGAAGTGGTCGGCTGTGCGGAGCAGTGGCAGCAGCAGTGCTGAGGGAGGTCACAGCTTGGACCAGCTCTGGACGGCTGTAGCCACGGCATGCATTGCCATAGACATGGCAGGTAACCACTGGAGTTCAGTTTTGACACGTGTCAGAAGCTTAGGCGTCCCAAAGGAGTCCTGAGGCGTCTCAAAACTGGACCAGCTCTGGACGGCTGTATCCGCAGCATGCATTGCCATAGACATGGCGGGTAAGAATCAGAGTTCAGTTTTGAGTCGTCTGAAAGGAGTTTTGAGGCGTCTCCAAACTGGACCAGCTCTGGACGGCTGTAACCACAGCATGCATTGTCATGGATACAGCAGATCAGAGCTAACATTCATTTGACGTAACGCTTACTATTTGAAGCTTATCATAGTGTGCACCATCACTCCTGCATTGTACTGTCGCAGATATCTACCACACGTTTTTTACCTATTCCTGTATTTTCCTGACGCGTGCGTGTTGCCGTGGCTGTTGCAGGTGCACTGCTTCATCTTGTGGTTGTGTATGTGTCAGTTTCTATGGCTGCTGCCTTTTCAACCCCTAAGTCGCAATGAGTGCCTTCAGGCTTCAGCTCTGACATTTACGCAGCCGTCACTTGTAATGGATAGATCTACAGGGTGTTCACGGCTGATTCGATTTGTTGTCATGATTGTGCTCATTGAAAGATAGAGCGGCTGCAAACACGGGTTGTCATTTTGATGGCATGGCATACAACCATTTCGGGCTTTTTGTTAAGAATATATATGCACTGTGAGGTTAGTTAAAGTCCTTGCACATTGTGGGCTTATACCCAATCGGACTCTCCCGCAAATGCATTCTCTTATCACGAGCTCTCGCGCTGACAGTGCCTGTCCAATCAGCACATGAAATTACCTGAAATCACGGAACGGAACTTGCCAATACAGTATCCCTGTCAGCTTCACGTCAGCGTGCACGCCGCCATCCCCACAGGGAGGAGAGAATTTCTCCAGTGGCCAATTCGGTGATTCATCCTTGCTCGGGGGGCCTCGAATTACTCGAGTGGCCACCCAATTTGGTGATAATTATTCGAGTGGCCACGCCTGGGGATTTTTGCTGGCTTTTTTTTCACCGGCGCATTACCCTACGGGGCTTTGTAGCCCCGAAATTCCTCATTCGTGCGAGTGGTATCCCTAGGTAGTGTTCCGTTCTGTTCCGCACCCGAACATCCCAGCGCAATTCGGTCGACAGGACGGAATTGCCAGTGTCGTCGAGGGGGGTCGTCGGAGCCGGGGCTGACGGGGTGGGCGACTGACGCGCGTGCGGGCCCGCCAGCCTGGCCCAGGACTGGGCCGGGCGCACGACCGCCGCCCCGCAACCCCGCTCCGAAAATGAACAGCGCCCCACGTTACCGGGTGGGGTCGGCGAGCTGGCGACCCCTCGCGCGAGGGAAAGTAACCCTCGCGCGAAGGCAGCCCACGGGTTCATGTTGCCCGCGAAGCCCTAGTAACCCTCGCGACCTGCCCGGCCGGGCAGGCGAGGGCCCGGCGAAATTCGGGTGCACCCCTCGGGACGATCGACAATTTCGCGATCCGATGCGGTGACGCCACGTGTTCGCCCGTGAGTTCGCATCGGGTACATGCAGAATTTCGGACGTTGCGAATTCGATTTCGTTCGCTTCGCGGCGCACATTTTTCGCGATCCGGTGCGAAGTCGACACGTGTCGGATGCCCCGCGCGCATGCGAATTTGCGTCCCATGGCCGACCGAGGCCAGGGGACGTGACATCGACTTGCTGGCTCGGCGGCGAATGAGAACTTGTGCCACTTGTGCACGAGCCCGCCAAACCCTGCCGAGCCAGGCACCTCGTGCACCGACCCCCTTTTCTTGGTGGAAGGGGGCGTCGCTCCTCATTTTCGGCATCTCGTTTACCTTTCCATTTTTTTCCCAGCTCTGCGCCTTCTCCCACATTCACGTCCCTTAGCCTGTAGCCGCTTCCCTTCCCCGTCATGGCGGCCGACCAGAAAGTCGGCGAGGTGACGCCGACTTCGCAGGACTTCCCTCTGTATCTCGACCTGGGTAGTGGACTCACTTCCTATCTCGAGGAACACGACTACGCCGTCCTCGTAGACCATAGGCTAGAGTTCAACGCCCGTTGCTTGGGATTCGGCCTCAAGTGAGTGTCCGTATTGGGATGTCGGCGTCGACCTCTGGATACATCGCAGGTCGACGTTGTTAGGGTTGTCCCACGTCTTGGTCGACGTTGTTAGGGTTTAGACCACTACTCGATGAGGCACACAGCCGTAGGTCGGTGTTGGCACCGGACTCCGATTACATTACTACAGTAGGTCGGTGCCCGCATCGGTCGGCGCCATTGATTACAACGTCGCGACGGTGGTGCCCCGTCGTACTATCGCCATCCCCGTCAGTTGTCGGTTCCAGAACCCACGTGTCCACCGTCGTGCCTTGCACCTCCTCACTCACCTCTACTACCCATGCATGCGTGCAGGCACGCATGGAGTCGCGCGGCGCCGGCCAACATGCGATTGTGGTCGATAGGAATCGGCGTGCTTCGGGCGGCGATGGGCCAGGAAGACCACTCATGCTTTGCTACGGTTTTCAACGCCGACGTAGCTGTTATCCCCCTGCATTCGAGGTGAGTCGGTTCGAAGTCATGATGGTGTGCCATGAACCCCATGTCGGTGCTACGTTCTGAACGACGTCGTGGTGCCTTGCCTGTGCAGCATCGCACCGCTTCCAGGAGCACATTGCAGCGTCGTGGTCATCCTGTACCCCGGCGACTTGTTGCGGGCCGGGGGGGAGACGATCAGGACCTCGGTCCGGCACTTTGACCCGCAGACCGTGAAGCAGTGGCACCGCGACGAGGCGATCCGCGTGCTGAAGTGAGCTCGATAGTGTGTAGTCGACGACGCAGGCAATTTCGCCGCTGAGCGTAAAGCAAACGTACTGATGAAATGTGCCATGTTGCTTCAGGTTTTTCCGGGCGGCGGTCCTGGCCGAGCTCGGCCGCGAGGGTAGGCAGTGGGAGTGGCCGAAGCCTTCTGATGATGAGGTGGCGGACAGGCTCGCCGACTGCGATGAACCCGTTCGAGATGTGAGTTCCGATCGTTTTACCGTCCTTGCGCGATGCCATTGCCGACTTCGGAATGATGCAGAATGTGTTGTATGCCCTGGACTGTTGTGTGCAGAAAGTGCGCGACACCGTCCGGGACAGCGGCGCGGGCTCTGGCCTCCTATCAATGAGCGCGCTGTGCTGGGTGGTGAAGAGGATGGATCGCCTGACCGGCGCCGACCGTCGAAGGGCGACCAGCATGGACAAGGTCCTCGTTTCGGGGTTGAAGGAGCTGCGGAATAGGATGATCACATTCATAAAGGAACACGTCGCTCGCAAACGGTCGGGCCATGTCGGACTGGCTGTCGACGCCTGTGACGACGACGCCGCGGAGCTCCCTTCGGCATCCCAAGCAGTCGGTGTCGTCGACACCAGCGGAGAGGCCGGAAGGGCGGTGGCGCGGACCGCGGATCAGGAAGAGGAGGAGGAGGAGGAGGAGGAGGAGGATGGCACCGATGATCAGGATGATAACGAGGAGGAGCGTGAGGAGCGTGAGCAGGGGCAGGAGAAGGAAGAGGAGGAGGAGGAGGAGGAGGAGGAGGATGACACCGACGATCAGGATGATAACGAGGGGGAGCGTGAGGAGCGTGAGCAGGGGCAGGAGAAGGAGGAGGAGGAGGAGGAGCTGGTGGTGGTGGAGGAGTCGGGGGAGAAGCAGCAAGTGGGGGAGGAGGTGGTAGAGTTCCCGTGGGTCGAATTCGACCAGGAGGACCTGGAGGGAGCGGCGGCGGCGGCGGCCCTGGAGGCCACGGCGGCGGCGGCCTTGGAGGGAACGGGCGGGAGGTCGGCGGATGGTGTGTACGAGGGAGGGGATGATGCCGACGTGGAGAAAGTCGGCGGTGAAGAGGCTCACGTGGGCATTGTGGTTGGCGACGCGGAGGTGGAGGACGACGCCGCGGCCCCGATGCAGACGGGCGTGGAGCCCACCGCAGGGAACGCCGGGGTGGAACGCCGGGGTGGAGCGGTAGAGGCGGGCCGTCAACCCGGTTCCTCCGCAGCTGGTCAGCAGGCACCGCCGGCCGTCGTCGTGCAGCTGCGACAGGAGAACAGGTGGTTGAGGGCTGAAAATGCTCGTCTGGAGACGGCGCTCGGAGTGGAGAGGGGTCGGGTGGACAGGTTTGCGTTGGGGATAGGCAGCCTCGTGGACAAGCTGAGGTCGTTGGCCGACCAGGTCGCCGCCTCCGACGCGGACGCGGCGAGTCGGCTAATGGACGCGTCCTTGACCATGGCGACGACCGTCACGGAGAGGGTCACCGCCGACATGGGTGAAGCATGGGATTCGATGAAGGCGTACGCCGAAAGGGCGGAGAGCTGGTTGGACGATCTCGAGAATCTGGAGGGGTTTATGGCGGCGGAACGTGCGACGGCGGTCGTCACCATGGGCAAACACGTGGAAGCGGTGGTGGGCGATGCGAGGAAGGGGTTGGAGGACTACATTTCGAAGCACCTAGTCGCCGCGCAGACCAACATCGCCGCCGCGGTAACTCAACGCGTCGCCGTGCCGCCGCCCACGCCGCCCGCCCCACCGCCAGCCTTCCCGGACGAGCTCATGAAGGCGTTCAAGGCGGAAGTGTTGAAGGCGGTGACTGAGGCCACCCAGCAGTCGTTTGTTGCGTCCGGGTTAAAGCTCATGACCGAGGTGATCGGCAACGTGGCGCCTGGTCGGCGTGGGTCGTCGCCGTCGGCCAACGAGGCGGACAAGCAGGGCCATGAAAGGGGGGGCGGCGGAGATGATGCGTTGAGCGTGAACCCTAAGCAGAGCAAGGGAGACGATGGGAGCCGCGGCGTCGGCCAGGTGGGTCCCGGCGGCTCGCGGGGCAAGGGAGCCGATGGGAGCGGAGGTACGAGCGTGGTCGACCAGCTCAAGAAGAAGGGGACAACGGTGCTAAGGACGCACAGCAAGGGCGATGGAATCAGGACTGCGCAGGGGGGCCCTGCCGACCAGGTTGCCGCTCAAGCGGCTGGACCAACAGCCCCGCCATTGGTCGC